TGTGGATTTGTGAAGCAGTCAAGAGAAAATGGGTGATTGTTGTACTCTTTTGTAGTTTCACTACCTGTTTTGAATGGTGAAAAGCTTTCTCTTTACTATTTTATTTACAGAACCTACTCTAACTTTGTTTTATTTTTGTTTCTCTTCTGTTGGAAGAGGGGAAAAAAGGAGAATGATCTATAACAAATTTTGTGCAGGTGTGGATCATATGACCATAACTTGTATGCTCTAGATTACAAAAACCATTGCTGTGTATATCAGCTTCCATGTGGTGGGAGTATCTATGGGTCACCTGCAATTGATGAGGTGCGTTGCTACTTTTTCTCCAGGGAAAATCTACTGCAGCATGCTTGGTACATTTTCGGACATTAAAATTTTTTTTTTTGTTTTTCCAGTTATAGTATATGAGCTTTTTTTTTAGCGAAAATAATATATGAGCTTTTTCCATCTGTAGATAAGTAATGATAAATGTAACTGGCCGTTCCCGGTAGAGTACTGTACTCTTGTCAGTCAGTAAACTGTGATAATCTGTCGACATCTGCTTGTCAGTAAATGTGATCTTCTTAGTAATTTTGCTTGCAGATGAATAATATACTTTATGTGGCTTCTACGAGTGGCCAATTGACAGCCATATCAATCGCGGTATAACAAATCTCAAGGTTTATCATGTAGTTATTGCTTGTGATTTTTAAACGGTGAACCTTGTCCTTGTGAGTGGATTTGGAAAACATGCTAAATCAGAGAATTGAAATTTATTCATAGGAAATTGTAAGAAAATTTATTTCCATACCTATAAACAAAGTTTTAGAAGGTAGAATACAGCTACAAATGCACTTACTATTACCTCTGAAGCTACCTTGACTTATCATATTAAATAGCGCTATGACAATGACCTGCATCAATAGTAATTGGTGCCACTCCCTTTCCCTTCATGATTGTTTCTATATCATTTTGTTTCTCAAAATCAATGAACATTACAAATTATTTGACGAAAGGGGAATAAAAAGAGTAGGAAAGAAAGTGAAATGGAGGAAAAGGTGGACCTCAAAGTCTCCCCTGTGGCAACAACTGTTAACCTAGTGATCTGCCATGCCATCTCTGCTAATTCATTGACCTAATTAATACCAGATCTAGAATTTATCTAATCATGTGCTCGCATGCTTTCCATATCTCAGTTTCTGAGAAGAGTCACAACCTTTTCCCTCAAGTTCATTTCATTCTAGGCCAGATTTAGTGTTCAAGTATTAGTACTGATTCCCATATTAAGGCTGTTGAGCTTATTATGTCCCAACTATCCTTCATTGCTCAAAAGAAAAGAAAAAAATGCATTGTTTTGATTTATTAAAGTTGAATATTTATTTGGCTTGCAAGCTTGTTATTGATTTGGCCAATCTATTTACAAATTCAGGCATTCCCATTTTCTATTCTGTGGCTGCATGAGCTAGAAGCGCCAGTGTTTGGTTCTCTTGCCATCAATTCTCTGAATGGAAATAGTATGTGCAGTTCATTTGACTGTTTGGCTATGTATCCATCCTTTGTGATATGTGAAAGCTCTCTCATTTATCTTAATAATTTGTTATCATGATTTACATTATCTTGTGTGTCTCTTGACTACCAGTTATATGTTGCTTAGTGGACGGTCATGTTCTCGCATTGGATACAAGTGGATCTGTTATTTGGAGGGTACAATTTTATTTAATACTTCATTTACATGTTTTTGCTTAATCATTCCATAACTTCATTCTCTGGGTGCAACCTTAGTTGAAAGTGGAAATGACTGACCCATAAGTATCTTGCCCTCTAACATTGAATTGTGCAATGTGACTTTTAGACTTGTTAACCTTAACAGAGTAAAGGAGATTTGATAAAGTGCATTAAGTTGTCCATTTTTTGTATTTTCAAGCACAATGATTGAATACATTTCCCTATAAAATAAATTAAAACAATGAAATTAAAATTAATATCCACACCTCTCTCTACCAAGATGTATGACCTTCTGACTTTAACTCATCTAAATCGCCGACATTAGTGTGTTATTTTACTTAAAATAAGAATATAATTTTAATATGAATTTGACTTGACACAAAAAATATATGTTTCCAATTTCCATATATTTCATTATGTATTGCACACAAATTTTTTTATTTTGAACGTTCTGTTTGCATATTTTATGGCTGAATCCACAACGTATTTTTGAATGAATCTACCAAATAATACTTGTATGTATTTTATACATCCTTTGTATTATTAACTATGAGTCATCTGAAAGAGAAACTCAGTGTATTACGAACCATGAGTCATGAGAAAGAGCAAACTCATAAACAATTCTTGAATCTAGTGAACAGAGTTTTCTACTACCTCCAAAGTTTTTGTTCTTCTCCAGAAAATGCACCATACTGAAGTTCTCTGTTAGATTAGATCAAGGATATATAGTGATGCAGCTCTTTGGCTATATGTGGTGTAATCCTCTAACTTGTATGTCGTGGTCATTTGCAATTCATAATTCTTTTCCTTTTTGATGATATTATTGAACAGTATAGAACTGCTGGACCTATATTTTCTGGAGCCTGCATGTCTTCTGCTCTTCCTTTTCAGGTATGTAGTATGGAGTCAATGTTCTGTAGCTAATTCATAATTTATTTATCTTTTTTGAGTCTGCTAAACGTTCTCCTTGATGGTACATAAAGCAAACCATGGACTTACTGAGAAAAATAAGAAGCATCTGCAAGCTTAAGTAGTGGGTGTTTTCAGGAACTTCCAAGTTATAGTTGGATTAGCTGAGGCAGGATTATGACAAACCTTGTAATTGTAACCAGTGCAACAACCAAATAGAGAAAAGCAATGAAGATATGAAAAGCCGAGGTCCTGTTAAAATTGGTTGATAATCATTATAATTGTACCTGTCTTGATATTGTCAGAATGTTTTTTTAAGTGAATGTTCGTAGCGTAGAAATGAGAGTAAATATTGGCCATGTGCTCTAGTTTTATGTTGTGAAAATATTTGGATATGTGGTCTAATATCTTTTCATATATTAATTCCAGATCTGATTAAATAATTTCTGTATTTTTTAAGTTTTACATGTCAATTCACAGCACCACTTCCCTCAACCACATGTAGAATTTGCTTAGACCATGTTGAAGGAGCAGTTGTTAAGATATTAAAGATGTTTTTTTTGTCTTGGTTATGATTCTGCAGGCACTCATATGCTCTCGAGATGGAAGCATCTACTCACTTGAACTGGTAAGGCCCAACATCTGTTATGGATGAAAATCTGCACAATTCTTTTATATATGTTTTTGTTTGAGATCCAAGTATAATGTCTGAATCAACATAGTCAATGGCATGATTTTTATGTGGTCTTATTCAATGGCTCCGTGATCATTCATACTCCCTCGAAATTCCTATCAAAGAAACTTCCTCATTAGAATTATAGTAAAATTATCAATCACACATGAATGGTTTACTTTCTAAGTAGATCAGTTAGTCTTTGCAAGTCAGGTTTGGCCCATCCAACTTCCAGTATCCATCAAGATGTGCCCTCAACGTTCTTCAATAAGGAACAGCAGGAGTAGGAATATGATTTAACCATTCTGTAATATGATTAAATTTCTAATTTGTTCTAGTAGACATTTTGGAAAATAGATTATGGATTGCCATCATATTCCCAAGATCTTGTTTTAAAAAAAAAAGAACTTAATTTATTCATATTCAGTTTATTATAAGTTATAACTAACTGCACATTTGATCACTGCTCCAGGAAACGGGAGATTTACTCTGGCAATACAATGTTAAGGATCCAATTACTTCATCCGCTTATGTGGATGAGCACTTAAGCTTGGTATCTGATCGATCTAACTTGCCAGACAGGTAAAGAACTACAGAAAGCTCTTGAAAGACCCTTGAACATTTACCTGATCATTTTCATATTGATCCACAACCTTTTTTTTTTTTTTTTTTTTTTTTTTTTTTTTTTTTTTTTTTTTTTTTTTTTTTTTCTAGTTTGGTTTGTATCTGTTCCAGCTCAGGAAGTGTCTATTTGCTTCGGGTTAACTCGGGTGTCGCCAAAGTGGCAAATGAACCGATAGATGTTGAGGAATTTTCCAGACTGGACCTCGCAGGAGATGTATTTTCTTCACCTGTAATGATTGGTGGCAGAATTTTTGTTGGTTGTAGGGATGATTATATACACTGCATTACTGTGAAGGCCTAGGTCTCTAGGACCAATAGGTTCTGTATATATGGATTGTGTTAAATATGGCTGTAAAGTCATTTTAGGCCGAATTAATTTAAAAAGAAAAATCATTTATCAATTTATCTTACACATTTTAGTCATCTATATATATAATGCAAAAGGCAGAGAATGGTGAAATATTCAAAATACCAGAAAATATCCTTGGTTAATCCAAACATTAATAATTAAAATGAGTTGTGATTTCCCCACTCCTTTTTCTCCTATTTCATCCACTTACACTCTTTTTTTATATACCCTTGGTTAATCCAAACATTAAGAATTAAAATGAGTTGTGATTTCCCCACTTCTTTTTCTCCTATTTTATCCACTTACACTCTTTTTTTATAACTAAAAAAGGAGTGTAAGTGGATAAAATAGGAGTGGGGAAATCATTGCCAAAATTATTAATTAAATAAGGATAATATAGTAAATTCATACTTTTTTATATTAAAAAAATTAATATTAAAAGAAAAATTAGATAATGAATTCTATTTTTGTAGAATACAAATACTCATTATCTTTTTTAATTTTAATTTTAATTTTAAACCCTCCGCGCCCGCGGAGAGGCTAGTCATCATTATGAAACTAACGAATGAGGACCACCAGGATAACAAACATGCACTGTATCATACCAATTCCCCCATACGGCTCCAACCCTAATAATGGTTAACTTATGCAGGATAACAAATATATATATATTTTGTAATAACTAAAATAGTATTTTACTGCAGTAAAAGTAAAATCCTCTCCGAACCCAATATCTTCCCTCCCCTTGTGCCAAGAGAGCAAGAGTCAAACGTGGGCTCATCAGCTATAGCATTGCTCGTCTGCTGTTGGCGGTCTGGTAGTGTTCTGTCGTCTATCAGGTACTGTTCTCTCTTCTGGAACTGAGTCGTTAAATCTTTCGTTCCAGATTGATACCGTACCGCGATTGGGTACGCTCGATCCGGATCGAAATTCGTAGGGTGTTGAGCGAATTATTGCATGCTCTGTCCAATCTGATCCACAATTTTGGCTATGTGCATGTGAAATTACTAGTATAATTGATCATCTGTATTTTTTGTTTTCATCTTTAGGTTTCCATATCAACGTCATCTCAGGTCTAATCTCTTAGCATAAAAATGGGGAGTGCCAATGACAACAAACTCAGATTTTGCATTGACAGAGGGGGAACCTTCACTGATGTTTATGCTGAGATCCCAGGTCAGCCTGATGGACAAGTTTTAAAACTTTTGTCTGTTGATCCATCAAACTATGACGATGCTCCAGTTGAAGGAATTCGGAGGATTCTTGAAGAGTTTACTGGGGAGAAAATTTCCCGTGCTTCAAAAATACCGACTGATAAGATAGAATGGATAAGGATGGGTACAACTGTGGCAACAAATGCACTTTTGGAGAGAAAAGGGGAAAGGATTGCTCTCTGTGTGACTCGGGGTTTCCGGGATTTGCTCCAGATTGGTAACCAGGCTCGTCCCAAAATATTTGATCTCACTGTATCAAAACCGTCAAACCTTTATGAGGAGGTTGTTGAGGTTGACGAGAGAGTTGAGCTGGCAAATGATAATCAAGATTCTTCTTCTGCGTCGTTAGTTAAAGGAGTTTCTGGTGAGATGGTTAAAGTTGTAAAGCCTATTGATGTAGAAACTTTGAAGCCTTTACTCCAAGGTTTGTTGGAAAAGGGGATAAGCTGTTTGGCTGTTGTGTTAATGCATTCTTACACCTACCCACAGCATGAAGTAGCTGTTGAAAGGCTAGCTGAGAGTTTGGGCTTCAGACATGTTTCCTTGTCTTCAGCTTTGACACCCATGGTTCGAGCTGTTCCTCGGGGTCTGACAGCTAGTGTTGATGCATATTTGACGCCGGTGATCAAAGAGTACCTATCAGGGTTCATGTCTAAATTTGATGAAGGGGTAGAGAAGGTGAATGTTTTGTTTATGCAATCTGATGGTGGACTTGCACCAGAAAGTCGATTTTCGGGTCACAAAGCTGTTTTGTCTGGTCCTGCTGGTGGAGTTGTGGGTTACTCACAGACACTTTTTGGGCTTGAAACTGAGAAACCTCTCATTGGGTTTGACATGGGTGGCACATCTACAGATGTGAGCCGTTATGCAGGGACTTATGAACAAGTCCTGGAAACCCAGATTGCTGGTGCCATAATACAAGCACCTCAGCTTGACATAAGTACTGTAGCTGCTGGTGGCGGGTCAAAGTTAAAGTTCCAGTTTGGAGCTTTCCGGGTGGGACCAGAATCAGTGGGTGCACATCCTGGTCCAGTGTGTTACCGAAAAGGTGGGGAGTTGGCAGTTACAGATGCAAACTTAGTTCTAGGATATGTAATTCCTGATTATTTCCCATCAATATTTGGCCCCAATGAAGATAAGCCTCTAGATATCAGGGCAACAAGAGACGAGTTTGACAAGCTTGCAAGGCAAATAAATTCATACCGAAAGAGCCAGGATCCATCTGCAAAGGACATGACCGTGGAGGAGATAGCACTAGGATTTGTAAATGTTGCCAATGAGACTATGTGCCGTCCAATAAGGCAATTAACTGAGATGAAGGGCCATGAAACAAGGAACCATGCCCTTGCTTGCTTTGGAGGTGCTGGGCCTCAGCATGCCTGCGCAATTGCTAGGTCATTGGGTATGAAAGAAGTACTTATACACAGGTTCTGTGGAATCTTAAGTGCTTATGGGATGGGATTGGCAGATGTTGTAGAAGAGGCACAGGAGCCATACTCTGCAGTTTACAGTCTTGAATCGGTTCAGGAGGCCTCTCACAGAGAAGCTATTTTACTGAGTCAAGTAAGGCAGAAGCTGCAAGAGCAAGGTTTTAGAGATGAAAATATGACAACAGAGACATATCTGAATTTGAGATATGAAGGTACAGACACCTCAATCATGGTTAAGAAACGAATTACTGAAGATGGGAGAGGATGTAACTACGATCTGGACTTTGTGGAACTATTCCAGCAGGAGTATGGATTTAAATTACTGAATAGGAATATCCTAATATGTGATGTTAGGGTTCGCGGTGTAGGAGTCACTAATATATTGAAGCCCCTGGCTCTAGAACGTACTTCGTGTTCTCCTAAAGTTGAAGGTAATTACAAGGTTTATTTTGGAAATGGGTGGCAGGAAACACCTCTATACAAGCTTGAGAAACTGGGATATGGGCATATCATGGCTGGTCCGGCAATAATCATGAACGGGAATAGTACTGTGATAGTAGAACCTAACTGTAAAGCTATAATAACTAAATATGGTAACATTAAAATTGAAATTGACTCTACTTCAAGCACCATGAAAGTAGTGGAAAAAGTTGCTAATGTTGTGCAGCTCTCAATCTTCAATCATAGATTTATGGGTATAGCTGAACAGATGGGAAGGACCCTGCAGAGAACTTCTATATCAACTAACATCAAGGAACGACTAGATTTCTCTTGTGCCCTCTTTGGACCTGATGGGGGACTAGTTGCTAATGCCCCTCATGTCCCTGTGCACTTAGGAGCAATGTCAAGTACTGTTCGGTGGCAGATCAACTACTGGGGTGACAATTTGAGTGAAGGAGATGTTTTGGTCACGAATCATCCTTGTGCCGGAGGTAGTCATCTTCCTGATATAACTGTTATTACACCTGTCTTCGATAATGGAAAGCTGGTGTTTTTTGTGGCAAGTAGAGGGCATCATGCAGAGATTGGGGGTATCACTCCTGGAAGCATGCCACCTTTTTCCAAGTCTATATGGGAAGAAGGGGCTGCCTTAAAAGCTTTTAAGCTTGTGGAAAAGGAGATTTTTCAAGAAGAAGGAATCACTAAACTTCTTCGATTCCCCTGTTCTGATGAATTGGCTCAAAAGATCCCTGGAACTCGCAGGCTTCAAGATAATCTATCAGATCTCCAAGCTCAAGTAGCTGCAAACAAGAGAGGAATTACCCTTATCAAAGAGCTAATTGAGCAGTATGGTTTGGACACTGTTCAGGCTTACATGACCTATGTACAGCTGAATGCAGAAGAAGCAGTGAGGGAAATGCTGAAGTCTGTCGCTGCTAGAGTTTTATCTCAGCCGTCTAGTTCTGGAGATGGGAGTTCTGTTACTATTGAAGAAGAGGATTACATGGACGATGGATCCATTATTCATTTGAAACTTACCATTGATTCTGATAAAGGTGAAGCAAATTTTGATTTTAGTGGAACCAGTCCTGAAGTATATGGGAATTGGAATGCTCCAGAAGCCGTAACAGCAGCAGCAGTTATATACTGTCTTCGCTGCTTGGTGGATGTGGATATTCCTCTCAATCAAGGTTGTTTGGCTCCTGTGAAAATCTATATTCCACCAGGCTCATTTCTCTCTCCAAGTGATAAAGCTGCTGTGGTGGGTGGTAACGTTCTCACTTCTCAGAGAATAACTGATGTTGTACTTACTGCATTTCAGGCTTGTGCTTGTTCACAGGGTTGTATGAATAATCTCACTTTTGGGGATGAGACATTTGGTTATTATGAAACAATTGGAGGTGGAAGTGGAGCTGGTCCGACCTGGGATGGGACAAGCGGAGTCCAGTGTCATATGACCAATACCCGAATGACTGATCCAGAAATTTTTGAGCAGAGATATCCAGTTCTTTTGCATAAATTTGGCCTGAGAGAGAACAGCGGGGGAGTTGGATATCACAGAGGGGGTGATGGACTTGTGAGGGAGATAGAGTTCAAGCGTCCAATTGTTGTGAGCATTCTCTCAGAGAGGCGTGTTCACACACCAAGGGGATTGAAAGGAGGGAAAGACGGGGCTCGTGGGGCTAATTTCCTAATCACACAAGATAAACGAAGGGTTTACCTAGGGGGTAAGAACACAGTTGAAGTGCAGCCGGGGGAAATTCTTCAGATTTTAACTCCTGGTGGTGGTGGATGGGGCTCTCCTACTTGATTCTTCACGGTGCCAAACTGTTTGATGCTGAGTCTTGTCTGGTTTGTCTAGCATGTTTCTCTTTTCATATTTCTCTTGTAAAATTTTATAAGTATTTGTGGTCACCACCATGTTCTGGAGATGTTATTAAGATCTCAAAAGAAATCCGTTGTGTTTTTTATATGCTATGGACCTCTGTATCTTGGGTTCTATTGACAGCTTGGGGAAGGGACAATTTCCGTTTTTTCCTTGACATTATTTATTTTCAGTTTTTAGGGGTAAATTTAGGTTTGAAATGTTATAACAAAATTGGGACTTCGACTCATAACATGACTTGCAGTGAGTCATACGCTCAATACACAAACACGGCAAGAAATGATCGGCAACACCAAAAGTCTTGGCATCAGAGAAGGAAAAAATATATATTATTTAATGTGTAACTACAAGAAATCTATAGTTTTGTAGGTTCATTTTTGTCAATGTTGTGCGTCACATAATCGAATTGGCTTGATGTCCTTATTAATAAAAGGGTCCCTAAATTAAGATGGCCTTGATTTTGGTAGTGTGCTCTCTCAACTAACAATGAGTTAGCAAGAGTCCTAGAAAGTCCTAGAAAGTCAAAAACTAAATAAGGGTAGTTTTAGTAATTCAATTAACAAAATAAGACTGAAAGCATAAAAACAAGGAAAGAGAGCCTGAATAGCTACTCGTATAATTAACTGTATTAGTACTTAGTACATTGTCGATATATAATTAACTGTATATAGTACTCGATACATTGTCGATATTTCTTTTGAGTTAAGGTATTCTCTATTCTCCCCCAAAAAAAAAAAAAAAAAGTTTGGTGTTGTTCTCCATATAAATATAACTTCTTTTTTGCTGGACATGAATAAAACTTGTTATTCAGTTATTCACAATGCACTGCAGTTAGAAACCAGCCCCGCTTTCACCGCTCTGTTTTGAAACCTTCCACCACCGGATATATCCTCCATAATTTCCATCCACCACTTTGTTAGATTCCGGCACCAACTCAACTCGGTCTAACCAACAACAACAGCAACAACATCAAAAACAAAACACGAACATAATTACACGAACTCAGAAAACATCATCGATCTCGACCCAGAGAAAGGATCCTATTCTGTCTTTCTTTACCTCCGATGGAGCAAAGAAAAGGAGATGCTAGAATCTCTCTCATCTCCGCAGTCTTCTTCTTCTGCATTATCGCCGGTGGAGTGTTTCTTTTCCTTTACATGCTTCTACCTGAAGAAAAATCCCACCCGTCGTATCCCTTTGTTGGCATGGTACTTGTGGCAATTCCATGGGCCTTTTGGCTCTTCACATGTGTCTACAGATGCTTTAAGCCCGAAGGCGAGCAGACTGCAGACAGCGACCATTATGCCAAGGCAGGAAGCAGCCGGGCAGCCACCATCCCGAACAAGAGTGACGTATTCACAGCTGGCAATGCATCAGCTGCAGAGTCCCCTGTGCATTCCCCTGATGGTGAACGCAAGGTGCAGTTTGCAGGGGTGGTTGTGATGGGGAATGAAGATCAAGGTGGTCATGGAGGGCAGAAAGGAAACGAAAACCATCATCAAACCATAGACATGGAAAATCATAATGGGATTAATGATTCGGTTGGCTCTGCAGATAGTGAAATGCCATTGAGATTGATGGTTTGATTTTCTTTATCGTAATATGAATGTTGCCAAGTAGTGCTCATCTGGTAATTGATATATGTATCTTCACGATGGACTAGTCTCATTGCAATTACCATGGAATTGAATGAAATGGAATGGAGAGAATTAATTGGCTTCAAAGGAGGCAAGAATCATATGCAACCATGTATAACTTCCTTCTCTTGCCACGGGGAACGAAAGCTCGAGGACGTTATATATGTGGGGAGGAGAGTTTGGAGTGTGTTCTTGGTGTGACCAGGCTAATGATATCTGAAGCAGAAAAGGGGACAGAATTGATTGTAGAGGTAATTTGGACCCATGTAAAGTATTTTGCAAGAGTGATATATGCATGTAGTATGATGCTAGAAAGGGAACTAACTTAGAGGAAAGATTTTCTTTGTTGTAATTTGGTTTTCTTAAGCTTCTTTGCATATTGTCCAATTTCTTTCGAGAACGTAAACTTCTTTCCATAATGAAGTTCAAACTAAGCTTCTTGATTTGTATGACTTGCTTTCTCATTATGCATCTATGGCCATGAAATCCAGACTGATAAATTAAACTGCTATTAGAGAACGAAAATTACTTCTACTTTTTCTAGCATAATTTAACAATAAGAGAATTGGTTGGTCATTTCATGAGTCCTTCTTGAGTTAAAATTTGGTACAAAGTACTAGTTATGAAGAGCAATCTACTTGGCAACCAAGCTGAAAAATGATTATTCAGAAAGTCAATGATTGAAGCTGAAAAAAAATAAATCAATGAATAACTAGATATTTGCAAAAGAAATCTTCGATGGAAGAAGAATCTACATGTTAGACTCCTTGTTTTGGATGCATCTTCTTCTTCTTCAATTGGCAGTTAGAATCGTGCACACTGTTGACGCACCCAAACTTCCTCTTCATTTCTCTCCACAAGCTAGTTTTCTCCTTCCTCACCTTAGGGCTGCCGCCATTGTCAATCTCTTTTCTCATCATATTGCACTCTCTCTCAAGCTCCATCACCTTCATGCTCATTTTCTCCATCTCTGATCTCATTTCTTCTTCACCAAAGTCCAACTTTGCTTCATACTCCTCCGCTTCCTCCTTTGTTGATTTGTCATCAGAATCCTGCACCTCCTTCAGGATCCTGTCTCGCAGCTGCAACTGCCCTGCAAACAACACTTGCACCACCACCCTTAAAGGCAACTTTTCATTTTTAGCAGCATGCTCATAAGCTTCAGGGGACACTTTCTGAAAATCCAAAACTCGACACACTTCCTCTCGCTCTGACTCTGTCAAGTGCCTATGCTTATCTAAGTAGATATCAACTGCCCTGTATATTCCATCCAAGGTTCTTTGTGTTCCCAATGATGCTGCAAGTGACATCTCTGCTAAGTCAACAAATGTATCTATGTTCAAATCTATGTCACTTGCAACTTCGGCCAAGAAATCCTCAATGAGTTCTGCCACTGCAATTAGCCCAGATATGTCCGACGAAGTGTAACTGCCATAGAAAACTTTCAATATCCTCCTCACGCATACAATATCATATTGCATTTCCTTGGAATAGCCTTGAGAAGGGACTAAGAGGTCTTTGACTGCTGCCTGGTCCAGTTGTTTTCCGATTCTAATCTCAATCCCATTTCTACATTCAGAGCTAACTTCCAAAACATTAGCAAACCGGAGGATTTCGAACAATAAGGTGCATGGAACAAGTCCTTTCTCATGAGGCAAATGCCTCTCCACAGCTTCAAGGATTTCCTTTTTGTAGTTACTCTTGACTGCCTCTCCACTGCCAGATAAAACCCATTTCTTTGTATAGTTACAAAGGGATGCAGCCACAAACGTTGATGGAACTCCATGCTTATTCATTTCATGGATGACTGGCTCATAGAGTTCGAGGGACAGTGTTGTCAGATCCTCCGATTTGAAATCAAGGTCAAAGAGTCTTCTCCTTGCACTCGGCTTATAGCCTTGGTCCTCCTCCTCACTATCATCCACATACTTGGTCGAATTCTTGATTGGTTCTCCAAGAAGGCTGGGATTAGCTAGTGCCTTTGTAATGATAGATTTCATGCAGGCCTCAACCAATCCAAGCTTCAAGGAGTGTTGAAGGAACTTTTCTGTGGTTCGGAAAGCCTTGACAGTTTCATTCCAGCTGGGGAGGATTGTTTCTTGAAAAAAGGAAAGAGCCTGGCCCAAAAGATTGTTTTTGCTGTGATTTTCTGTCATCTCCAAGTAGTGAGCAACACAAATGAGAGGTACAACTTTCTCAGTAGAAATTTGAAGTTGAAAGCCATGGTAGAATCTGGCAACAAGCTCAAGAGTTTCGGGGTCAGCAGGCATATTTCTGAGGAAATGAGAAAGATCTTCCTTTGAATTATCCTCGAGTAAGGCAGCAAATTTGGCTGATTTTGCAGCCAGAAGCTCCTGCACAAAAGATAATTGCAAATTGAATTATTATTACCAGAGAAGAGAAAAAAAAAAAAGTAGAGGATTCCTTTTAAAGAAGATATCTTTCTTACTTTCTCCGCCATGAAAGGCGTACCAAGTACATTGGGCTGCAAATCTGGTGGGCATGTAGACTTAGAGAAGCTAAAATGGAGTAATGCCAAGAGGAAGCAAAGAGAGTGAAAAGTAATATCCAAAAGAAGATTAATTTGACATGATTAATTCAGGAACGGGGGAGGTTTCTTTACCATAATGATACATGTTTGCTTTGTCTCCTTGCCATCTTTCTGTAACTCATTTGACTGTATCAGTTCACTTACTGGTAGAGAAGTTGCTGTTGATGTTCATTGATTCATAAATTGAAACATCTCAAGCCTCTCTTTAAGCCCTAAATTGACTTAGACAGTTATAGATTGGATATGAATTCAAATTTATAAGATAGGATTCACATCTCGTTTGAATAGATTGAGAGAGAGAGAGAGAGAGAGAGAGAGAGAGAGAGACTTCCGTTAGAAATATGCGGGTGGGTATAGCTGAGAGCTAGTCAAAATTGAAACAAAGGGAAATCTGAATATCCACGGGAGGGACTAATTAATATAAAAAACAAAAGCTGTACCGTACCATACGGGATTGTTTTGAGAGAAATAGAGTTAGATTTCATCGTCTTCTTCTCCCCTCTGCAATTTCACGCGTACGCCTCCATAACTTGGCGTATGGCTTTAGCAACAATCGCTAAACAGAGGTACGCCTGAGGCACGCTCTCAGGCGCGCTTAGGCATGCCTGAATTTTGATTTCTCTTTTCGTACCTGCCATAGAGAATAACATTATATATGATCAGATTGGATGTTGTTTCTCTCCAACCAGGCTACAGACCTACATATCAAGCATTTTCAAAAACCAATTTATAGCAGTATTTAATATGCATATTGCAATTTCAAAATGTAATATACTAATATATTTTGTTATTGAGGGGATCAAATAAAATCATCATTCAGATCAGCGTCCGTGAGCCAGGCGGAGCGAGGTGGACCAAGGCGAGCCAGATTTGGACACTTCTGAACCGGAAGAAATTTTGCAGACTATGCGAGGAAGACGACTCGCGTGTTTGGTTTTTCAGGTTTATTGTTATGAAACGACGTCGTTTCGATTGCAGTGTTTTTTTTTTTTTTCAAAGGGCAAGTTTATCTTCTTTTTTTTCGAATTAATATTTTTCTTGTCTTTTCTAAATCCAGTCAGCTATAGCTTTATTCTACTTACCTTTTTTTTTTCTTTTCTAAATTAATATATTAACATATGGACTTATCTATATATATAAAGCAAATTGGTGAAACATTCAAAACACTAGAAAATACCCTTGGTTAATTCAAAAATTAAAAATTGAAATTATTAATTAAATAAGGATAATAGGATAAATTCATATTTTTTTATATTAAAAAATTAAAATTAAAAACGAAATCAGATAATAACTACTCATCTTATCTTTTCTTAATACCAAAAAAATTAATTAAAAAAAAACTCAATTGGCACATGCATGTGCACACAGAGATAGTATACACACACACACACACACATATATATATATATTGTATAGTACAATCCTAATTTCTACCATTACCAGATAATTTCCATCAATTTCAAGAATTCTCTTCATCTTTCGACTACAGGTAAGTCATTTTATTTTTCTCTCTAATTCTTCTCAACTGTAATTTGAAGTTCCGTATATTTTTTTTTTCAATTTTTTTCTTAATATATTAGTTATCTTATTCGTTTATGTGATATAGTAGACATTTGACGTACATGCATCATACTTGTATCTTAGAAATATTGTTGTTTTATAGTTATGAATTGAAAAGATCTTGCATGGAAGTATGCAAAAGAAATAGAGGAGGGAAAAATACTTGAGATGCACATTTTGTGATCCAAGATGCAGTGGAGAAATTTTTAGACTTAAGCATCATTTGGGTCAAACTCATCATGGTATGCAACCATGTAAGAAAGTTCATGAGCATGTGAAAAAAGAGTGTGCCGCAACTTTGAAAAAATTTCAGCTTTAAAAAAGAAAGAAAAATGAAATGCTTAGAAAAATTGGGGATGGTCCATGAGAAGGGGCTCAGAGTATGAAAACTTCATTGGATAAAGAATATGGAATCCCCGATACTAGGAGTGTTACAATTGATGAGGCTCTTAGAGCACAATCTAAATCAAAAGGACCAATGGATAGATTTGTCACTTTAGAAGCTCGGCAAAGTACATTAAATTCAATATACAAACAAGTAGAAAGAAAGGAAGTTTGTCGAAAGATTGGTTATTTTTTCTTCTCTAGAGCACTCCCATTTAATATTGTAAATGATCCATTTTGGCTACCTATGGTGGAAGGGATTGCCGCATATGGTGTAGGATTTAAGCCTCCATCAATGCATGAGCTAAGGACGTGGATCCTCAATGAAATAGTTGGATGCATCACGTAGGGAAATATTGTTAGACGGCGACACTGAAGCTACACTTGCCTACATGAAAGCAAAAGCGTCAGTAGATTTTGAATTTTTTTTTGTAAGTTCAATGTAGATGAGGAGAATAGGCTTGCTAACTTGTTTTGGAGAGACTACTTCATTTTTGGATTATGTTGCCTCCGGAGACATCCTCATATTCGACAACACATACAAAACCAATATATATGACAAGCCTCTAGAGCTATTTGTAGGTTCAAATAACCACCGGACGAGTGTTGGTTGTGTCTATTTCTTGACGAGATCTTTAGAACATAAAAGTAGTTATTGGAGACATTCATATCCTCCATGAAAGGCAAGAAGCCTACATTGATACTGACGGGTAGGGATGAGGCGATGCGCACAAAGCAATTGAGTATGTGTTGCCTATGTGCAATTATAGGTTGTGCTCATGGCACGTGGCTATGAATGCACAGAATAACCTACTTTTGTCAAACACAATGTTGTCCATCATAATGTAGCCAAATAAGAACGCCTAGAGATGAAATTCTTAATCTAAACTTGAGCTTGAGAAAATACAATGATTGTCTAATTACAAATTTGTCAAGGGAAGCCAAAATAAAAAATAAAAAATCCATACATTTACAAACTGGGCAACTCAAAAGGAGTGGCGACACAGGGGAGGCAATTCACGTTTCAGAGGAAGAGGAAATCAGAGGAAGATGAGTTGAGTTCTAAATGAGGAATCCTTATGTGAGGTGGAGATTAGTCCATCAAAGGAGTTGGAATTTCAAGAAAACAGATCCAAGGTTAGGAGAAGATCGACTACTGAGAATGGTTGTGATGGCTGGCCAGAATCAGCCACCCACTCATTACGATACACCTCTCTTGGAATTGTCAAAGGTTGGGGAACCTCTTGACAGTTATGTATCTAAAAGATCTTATTCGCTCTAAAAATCCCACGGTGATTTTTCTCGTGGAAACATAAAGGAAAAATCAGAGACTTGAACTGATACAAAATGAGTGTGGATTCTCGAATGGATTCTCAGTGGAACCACTAGGTCTTGCTGGCGGTCTTGGTGTCTGGTGGAACTTAGATGTCACCATTGAAATATTGGGATACTATCAAAATTGGATTGATTCTCAAGTTTGACATGTCACAATACATGAAATTTGTAGATGCCTTTCGATGTATGGCCACCCATTCTCTAGGAACGAGGCTTCTTTCTAGGAAGATATGTATACGATAAATAAAGTTGATGATCTACCATGGCAAGTGGTTGGTGATTTGAATGAGGTCATCCAGAGGAATGAAAAAGATGGTGGCAACGGTTGGAGTCCTAGTAGACGACGATACCTTGTCTAGTTCATGGAACTAATGTGCTTGATGGATTTAGAATTTCATGGGTAACTATTTACGTGGGAAAGACGATGTGGGAACGTCATAATGGTCCGTCAAAGCCTTGACCAGGTTTCAGCCAATCGTGAATGGATGGAGAAGTGGCCCAATTCCTGAGTCACCCATTGTGCGTGGATGGCCTCAGACCATTGCCTCATTGTATTAGAATGCAGCCCCACTGTCAACAAGCGAAAAAAAGTTTTCAAATTCAAAGCTAGTTGGGCTAATCGAGAGGAATGCAAAAGAATTATCAATACTAGATGGAGGGCCTGTCAATATGGTAGATGGATTAATTCCTGGTCTTCTAATCTAGAGAACTGTAAATAGAAGCTTATTTGTTGGAATAAGGAGTCACACTGAGAATTGCAAAATCCGGATTCTGAACTATGTGAGTTTGTGTCTTTTTTTGGTTTATGTGGGTTTTAAATTTCAGGGAATTTGTGTCTATTTATGTGAGTTTTCTTCTATATTTGAAATTTTTTACAAAAATGGACATTTTTGAAATCAGAGGTCAAGTTTTGGCTATTTTTGATAAATTCTCTAATAGAAACTCATTTATTTCTTTGAAAAGTGAGATGGCCTTGGGCCAAGGCTACTAGGGCTACAGCCCAGGGCTCAAAGCTGAGGGGGGCTCAAATATTCTTTTAAAGCCTATATATATATATGTATATAAAAAAAATAAATAAATAAAAAAAAAGAAAAAAAAAAGAGAGAAGCCGAACTGTACCTGTACCAAAGAGGAAGCCAAATCAATCTTCAATCACTTTTAATATTCTCAATCTCAAGAAACATATTGAGGAAGGAAGCAAAGTCAATTATTATTAAGCAAAGTCAATTATTATTAATTAATTATATAATATAATATAAAACAAGAATCGACAAAATACGGGGAAATCAAGTAATCAACAGACCTTCTTAGCCATTAAAAGAAGAAGAAATTTAGATATTTTGTCAAACAAACCAATGCTTCATTTGAAAATTTAGATGAAGATTTACCAAATGAAATATGAACAACCAATTCAATTGAAATAATTAGTAGAAAATGAGAATGATGTTGATGATCTAGATGAAAATGAAAATATTGATGAACTTTTACATGATGAAAATGAAAATATTGATGAACCTTGCCATGAAAATGAATGTCCCGTAACAAGATTTGATTTGAACATATATGATCCATGACAGGACCCGCCCCAAAATTTTCAGAACCCAAGACAATTCCTGTGGGAATCCCGACATCACACCAATGCCGGGCTCATCCACTAAAACTATAACCTCTTTTCCCAAAAAGGAATAAGAGCATGAGACTTTCTACTGAAATTTCGGCAGAGTTTCCCCTACAAATTGAACATTCCCCAAGTTTCAACATGCACAAAATTCACAATTTAATATCCCAACAGGCAGCATGCACAATATAATTTCATGCAATTCATGTAAACGGCCTTCGGCCTTCAAATGATTCGGAACAGAACCGCAAACACTGTTCTTAAATCAATTTAATACATTAAACAATGCATATAACAAACTCAAAACTAAATGATGAACGCCTACTGAAATCAACATAAAATAACTTCTCCAAATATCCAACATACGAGGTTTTAACCTCCTATCATACTCGCATCTCGTTTTCACCCAAATTTCAGGACCAACGACGAGTTCCGAACCAATCTCAATAAAACAATAAGAGCAACGTTTAGCTCGTGGCTGCACCTAGTAACCATAGGTTGCCTACGTACCCTTACTAAGGGATTAAGCCACACGTAGTTCTTTCCTAAGACCCTTCTACTTTAAATCACAATCACCAATTACAATATCACATATCTCCCCATACGCCAGATATACCAACACCACGTATGGGGTCTGTCAACACGCCGACTACTCCTACGACACGTGCGACCTTAACACAATATCACATATCTCCCCATATGCTGGATATACCAACGCCACGTATGGGGTCTGTCAACACGCCGGCTATTCCTACGACACGTGCGACCTCAACACAATATCACATACCTCCCCATACGCCAAATATACCAACGCCACGTATGGAGTCTGTCAACATGTCGGCTACTCCTACGACACGTGCGACCTCAACATAATATCACATACCTCCCCATACGCCGGATATACCAACGCCACGTATGGGGTCTGTCAACACGCCGGCTACTCCTACGACACGTGCGACGTCAACATCATAGGGTGGTACTTACGTGTAATCAATATCCGGGGAGGTACATAGGGTAGTACGTATAGCACTTCAAACAGACATTATAAACTCCTTTTTAC